ATTTTCACTACTTTTCAAACATTTGCTCTGAAGGTAGATTAAAATCCTCCAGAGGCTTATTTTCTGCATGAATTAAACCAATAACAACACGATTTTAAATGGTTATTCAGGCCATTTGGGAAAGAACATCGATGTGAAATGAGGTCGTCTGAGAGATGCGTTTTCTTTTACCAGGTTCAAGGCAATTCCATGCATAATGTAGAATCTGTCCACTCCTCTTCAAATAAAAATGAGGAATGCTGAGGATTCACCCAAGAGTTTTTATTGGGTTTTATGCACTTCATACTTTAAAACACAAAGCCCATAATTAAGTCAATCTTAACTATAGTCATCATTTTGTACATTACATCCTGGTACTCATTTCTCTTACAACTGGAAGTGTGCATCTCTTAACCATCTTCCTCCAATTCCCCTACAGTTAACACTGCCGTATGGTACATTTAAAAGTTGTTAGGAGAGTAGATCCTAAGAGTTCTCATCAAAAGGAAAAAAATCCTTTCTTTTCTTTTTCTGTTTTTTGCTATCTGTATGAGATAGATGATGGATGCTAACTAAAATTACTGTGGTAATCATTTCACTGTAAATGTAAGTCAAATCATTATGCTGTACACCTTAAACACACAGTGCTTTAATAAAATGAGAAGAAAAGATCATGACAAATTTAAAAACAAGCAAATCTTTATCCAAAGTGAACAGTCCATACATGGGAAAACCTAATTACACCTACTTCACCGCTTCATATTAACATGGGAATCCTGCAAAGGAGAGTCTTCATTTGAAAAGTTCAAAGCTGACACACGATCGTTAACCAACTTGGTGATCAATTATGCCAATCTCTGTTTTTGGTTATGATTTCTATTAATATTTTTAGTATTACTCTTACCATTTCACTGTTACTATTTTTTCTACACCAAAAAAAGTATTTTTCAAAAAACAGGGTACTGAAATTGGGAAGCAAAGGCAGTCTACCAAGACGCTGATATTTACAGAAATAAAGACATTCTGGCAAGAAGACAGAAAAGGACAAGTGTTTTGGGCTTCATGCCTCCCAAAGCAGCACTTCTCAAACTGTCTGTGGTGAAGGAGTCACTTTTTCTCTTATTTCTAATTATATTCAAAATACAAGCCCCATTTCTTTATTCATAGATTCAACAGACATAAAATTACTCTGTTAACTAGCCACAGAAGTTTCTCAAAGCTTCCTCTGAATTTCCACGCGTATCACAGCCCAGTGAGAGTGTGGGGCCAGCAGTCGTCACGACCACACTGGGAGAGCCCTGGGCAAAAGCATCGCTGCTTACTCAGAAACTGAATTCTTATTTTATAGATGTCGAATCTGAAATGCAACAAGGTCCACCCAGACCTCTCCCCACAGCTCTGAAAAGTAAACATTTTAAAAGAAAGGCTCATATCAGAGAGACAAGTGGACATCTGCAACACTCAACAAATTGCAGGGCCCACTTATTTCAAACGTTGTTTTATAAGCATTGATCATCAGTTCACGATTATGGTGAAAAACGTCAGTAATAAAGAATCTTACTGTGCCTGTTTAGCATAGAGAAAAGCAACAAGAGTTCTCAAGTGAGAGGAAATGAGGATCCACTCCCCACTCGGCCCCTTCCTGGCTGTGCAGCTTTGGGTCAGTAACTTAACCTCAGGACACCTCTTTGTTGATCTATAAAACAGAGGAAATGACAGGATGGACCCCACAGGGTTACTCTGAGGATGAAGGGAGATTTTGCAAATTAAGAACTTGGTACAGTGAGTGATGGATACTGAGTGTTCAGTAAACATCAGCCATGTTGGCCACAGATTTGGCAAGTGGCGCCCCTCCCATGTGAAATGAATTGATGCCCAGCACAGCTTCCTGAGAGCAGGCACCCTTGTGTCCTCACTCGGAGCTGCAGGGGGTTCCAGTCCTGCAGACTCGGAGTGTGGCGTTTCCATCGCACAGTCAAGCAGAAAAAGGAGAAAAGAAGTGAGCACAGATTTGAGGCGTAGGAGCTTGACTCTGCCCCCAAATCGCTATGTGCAAACACACTCCTGTTTTCGATATAAAACCATAACCACTAAAGCATTTCCAGTTTTAGGACCAGCCACGGGTCCGGATTTCACCCCTATCAAAAGCCGCTGTCCCCTAACCTTCCATAGCTGTGCTTCAGCTGAAATGGAAAACCCCTGGACCCTGAACTCAGTTACTGTCTGACAACATAAGCTGGGCTGGTTTTCACTTATCACGTGGACTTTGGGGATCCAAAGAGGTGAGATACATCCCTGGTTCTGTCTCTTACCGTTGTGGACCTTGAGAAAGTCCCTCAGTCTTCTGCTTTAGCTTCCCATCTGTGACAGGGAGGGGGTTAATACGCTGCCCCCCTCTTTGGGAGGTGTGGAAGCCCAAGCACTATTGACAAGAGCAACGGGGCAAACAGAGTAATGGGAGTGGGGGGGATAGATAGATAGATAGATAGATATAGATACAGATGTAGATATAAAGAATCATTCGTTTTCACGTGGTACTTTTCCCCACACTGTACACTGTAAACCCTTTAAACACAAACCATGTACTTTTAATGCCTTCAACCCTTAAGCTCCAAGTGCTATCAGCATTCACCACCAAGAGGGTCACAAGAAGGACTTAGGCTGCCCTTTGGATCCTTTCCAGCTGTTGGAAAGCTCGCACCACAAGCCCTTGCAGTTCTGAACTCATGAGTTCCAGCCTCTGTTTGTCGCTAACATCATGTGCAGGGCCTCCCCCAACCAACATCATTGGCCCATCCATTTTGGGTTCACCTCAGTGTTTCCATCCTATCTCTTGGCTGTATGAGCAAGAGTCTCGAAGGCCATCTTTGCAGCCATTGGCCATTTCTTGCCCTGATGTTCATTTGCTCATTAGCAACTCCTCCTCTGAGGGATGGGAGAGCTGGCCCCAGCACACCGTTTGTCCAGCACTTTGGCCTCCCCAGCCTCTCTTGTGCCTTCCCTGTCTCTGAAACGCTGCTGGTTTCCTTGCAGCAGGAAACACTTGTTCTCCCTAAACATGGTCCATCAGGAGCCCTCACCTCCTATTTCTTCCTGCTTCCAATCCTTCTTCTGGAGGTTTTTGTGAGTCAGTCGATCTGTAAAAATCTCTGGATGGACTCTGAACGGAAGGCTTTTCACATTCAAAGTGTGTCAGGTCAGGAAGGCGCACTGAGGACTGCCCTCTGAGCACTGCAGGCTCTCTGCAGCATCGAGGCCGGCAGCCCTCCAGTGTGAGCTTGATCTCCTCTGTGACAGGGACCTCACTCTGTCCCGAGCAGTTTGGATTGTGAGCAAGTTCTCCTTCATTCTGAGCTTCCATCAGTAGATTTTATTCAGCCTTTGCCCACATACTCGGGTGTTCTATAGAGCCAACCAAATCCCTCTTCTACACGATGGCCCAAGGGGCAGAGAAGGGCTCTCTTCTCCAGAGTAAACCCGCCATGTCATGGCTTCCTAGCTCCTCGATGCTTTGGTCACCCTCCTCTGGACACGCTCTAATAACTACCTGAGTCCTGGATATTCCGTGCCTGTGGCATTTCCTCATGTTCTGTTTCATCTCTTTATCCCCTCCCTGAACGGCATGCACATGACCTCCCAGTGAGCTTGCAACACAGAAATTCACGTACAGACAGAGCTAACGTGACAGCCCTCACTGTCGGGTGGCCAGCACACCCACATTTCCTGTTACTTCCCATATATCCAAATTGAACCAGTTGTTCATAGGACAATACATACGGCACGAAGGTACAATCAGAACATCAGGGCCAGTCTTGCTAGAAGCCCCATGTGCTGCCTTTGCTGTGTCTCAGTCCAGAATATTAGCCCTCTGCTCCTCCTCTGACTGGCTCCCTTCCTAATCAGAGCCCCTTCCCCACATCTGTGCTTTGGATGTTACCATTCCTGAGGATGACAAGAAGGGCCATGCAATATTCCTTCTTGCTGACATCCTAGCTAAGCCCACATGGAATTACATTTGTACAGGCCTTATCATTTCCAGTCATCTTATCATAATCTTCAGAGCAGCCCTGAGGACCGGGCGTCATCCTCACTTGACAGAGGGGAGACTGAGGCAGACCCAGAACCTGAACCCAAGGGGGTCTTCCGATATCGTATCTGGTGCTACTGATTCCACAGCCTGCTTACTCGGGAGCCTGTGAGTCTTGCGTAGAAACATTTCCTAAGGTTGACTTCCAAGTATCAAATACAGAATGAGTGACAGAGCAAAAAGCAGAGGAATCTGGTTTCTATTCCCGGCTTTGCTATGAACTAACTCAGAGCTGAACTCGCCTGGTCCTCAATTTCCTCGTTCACAAAATGAGGAGAGCAAACGAGACGACCCGTGAAGCGCCTTCCTGCCCAGCTGTCCTTTGTGTCTGCCCTGTCTCTGCCGTGTGGCTAAAATTACACAGAAAACATTACTGAAATACCTTTCTTTTTTGTTTCTCATATTTTTAAAGTGTCTAAGATTAGCTGAATAGTATTTATTAATGATCCAGCTAGTCTGTCAGGAAGGAACAAATTGCCATCTCTGCGATAGTTAATTTTCAAGCAGCTCGTTTTCGGTAATGGAGAGATAAATCTGGAAATACCAGCCATAGGCTCTGCCCACAAAAGTCCTCACCCCATGGAGGACCAGCTTTAGAGCCCCGTATCCTTAGAGCAGCGGATCTCCTCTCAGGCGACATTTGGCAATGTCTGGAGACGTTTTTGGTTGTCACACCTGGGGAAGGTGCCATGGGATCTAGTGGGTAGAGGCCAGGGATGCTGCTAAACATACCATAATGCTCAGGATAGTCCCCACAACAAAGAGTTATCTGGCCCAAGATGTCAGCAGTGGGAGTTTAAGAAACCCTGTCTTAAAGAGTAAAGTCAAAGGATGGCCCTAAACCCTTCCTAGTGTTTTCGCTAAGCTGGTCCACGTGAGAGGCTGACCAGATGGGCTCACCTGAAAGGACCGTGGGTCTGGACCCCGCTCTTACCTTGCGAAGAAGGAAGCAGCCACCGAGGGGCCTGTGGAAGTCTCGCTGGCGGCACAGGAGCCCTGGGAGGCGGGGACGCCGCAGGCGGAAGGCTTGTCTGCATTGTAGCGATTCAGCGCTGCTTCTGTCAGGCCTTCCCGGCCAGACTCCATCATCAGCTGGGAGATCTGACAAGGAAAATGGATACTGAGCTCATTACCTGTGGTTCCCTGCATTTCCTGATCACCACTGACAGCATCTCGCTCTTGGGGTGAGGGGGCCAGAGAGGGGAGACAGGGAGGGAGGCTGAGAGGGAACACGTCCCCCACGTGCGTTCAGTTACATGTTACGTGTACACAGTACATGTGGGTGCTTAGGGCTTCTCTAAGGCTATTTTCCAGCATTTTAGCTAGGAGACCTCCTCATTTTCATTAAAAATAATGGAATAAAATTACCCCCTGACATTGTAAGTTTCAATTACGTCTGTGTCTCCCCTCTCTTTGGCGAGGAAAAACATGGGTCATTATACACACTGTTTGCAGCCCAAGACCAGACCAGTAACATCAACTGGTGCTGCTTTCTTACCAGGAATGGTCCCGAACGCTCTCAAGTAGACAAGTACGGCAAAGGTATCACTTCATGAAGGCAAAGGGAACCTCTGAGGAAGAACATAGGGAATTAACCACGACACTGTCTGTCGTAGTGGTTTGCTGTGGGCAGTCAGCACACAGATGACTTAGAGACGCTCACAAAGCAGATGCAGCCACCATGAGTTACCAACGGCTTGGTTTCTTTTTTTTGAGGGTTTACGTCATTTCAACAGACTTAACTTTCCCAGTGGTTCTTTAAGATAAATGGCTCCCATTTTATTTGCAAAGATTGCCTTTATAATGGAAGTTCCAGCGCATGGGGCTGGATCCATTTTGCCTAAATCCACATAACACAATGTGAAAAACAGCACTTCTGGGCAAAAGAAGAATCTCGCGTACAAATATACTTTCGGAAAGTGCTAATCCTGTGACAAATGCAATAATTTGCAGACAAGTCTGAGTGTGCTATTTTGAAAGCCTGTTACTTTAAAACTTCAGTTTCCTTGCAAAAAGGAAAAACTATTTAAAAAAAAAAAGGAAACTTTTTTTTAAAAAAAAGGAGTCTCCAGCCAGCTCAGATCCCTTAAATGCTGAGTGGGAAATATATGTAATTGCCTAGAAAACACAGTGCTGTAAAGCAAAGATCAGGAACAGTTTCCACTTTGTACCGGATCAGGCCGCTCTGCAGTGAAAGAGCCCCATTTGCTAACCTTTGAACATCAAAACATTTGTACTTTTCATTATTAGCAGAACAGCCATTTCTCTGAGCCCGGCTTACTTGAAACTTTGCTTAAATTCATGCTCTTACTTGCAAAGACTTGGTATTATTCAGCTGAAATTCCACCAACACGTAATTTCTTATTCTCATTCATTCAACGCATGGTAAGGAAACCCCACCCTCATAAGAGAAACAGGAGAAGAGGCAGCAAAAGCAGCCAATGGCCTGGAGCACGACATTCCCTGCCCTCAGCCAGGGCTGCTGGCCACGCAAAGGTCCCGGTCACCTCTCCTTGGGCCTCCTCTGCTGCCTGTGGGGTGTGGGCTCCCCTCAACCAGAGGAATGAGGCAGGCTGGAGGGGGCTGCTCAAACAACTGAGGACGGAGGGTATGGCCACGCACACTGCTGTCAGCACTAAATAGCATTTATGAAGGCCCCGTGGTACACGATGCCGTCCTGGATCACATCCACAACAAAACCCCAAAACTCATAGCAGCATTTCTTTCATCAAGTAGCTCAATGTAAGACACGCACTGATTTTAGTACAGAAGGACGTCTGAAGAAAGTCAGCAAACCAGGAGGTGTGTCGTGCAATGTGTTACAACTTATACACAGGCAGGTCCACTAATGCGGCTACCGTCTGATCTGTTTGTGTAGCTTCCCTTCCATTACTGTATTTCTAATGCAAAGTTTGGAGGGAAGGGAATGCAATTCTTTTGCCTCACCGTGGATGTACTGTCATTGCAGGTGCCCTGCAAACCCAGAGAAACCCCTGAGACATGTGGCAAATGGCAAGATGCCTTACACAGAGGCACAGGTTTCTGATGGGTCTAGGTTCCCCAGTCTGGCCCAGGTGAACACGAGCATCCTGTGGGCTCAGGGCTTTCAAAAATGTCACTTAGCAAATGAATGGCAATACATTGGCCTCCTTAAAAGAGAGCTATTGGCCATCTTGTGCCCAGCAAGACTGGATCTCTTACTTTTAAACGATTGGGGATTACTGGACATGGGACACTTGATTCCCAAGCCTACACATAGAATTATTCGATCCTCAATTGTTCTTAGGAATTTGAATCCAGAATGTCTTAAGAGCCAGAAGGGATCATCAAAATTATCCTCTTCAGGGCCGGCCCAGTGGGGCAGCGGTTAAGTGCGCACGTTCCGCTTCTCAGCAGCCTGGGGTTCGCCAGTTTGGATCTCGGTGTGGACATGGCACCACTTGGCAAGCCATGCTGTGGTAGGCGTCCCACATAGAAAGTAGAAGAAGATGGGGATGGATGTTAGCTCAGGGCCAGTCTTCCTCAGCAAAAAGAGGAGGATTGGCAGCAGTTAGCTCAGGGCTAATCTTCCTCAAAAAATAAAAAATAAAAGATTATCCTCTTCTAAACTCTTTTTCTTAAATAAGGAAACTGAGGAGAGAGAAGCGATCAGCCCATCGGCCAGGGCCAGCCCCTCCTCCTTCCTGCTACCCCTTCTTCTTCCCTCCCTTCCTCCTAATTAAAAAATATTATAACCAAATGGGGAAAAAATCAAATAATAATAAAAACATAGGTGCATCTACTACCATAATCCACAAATGTTAATGTTTTATTTCTTTTAGAAGATATTATTTACAAGAAACCAAACATTACATAAAATTGAAATTGCCTGTATTGCACGTCCTCCTCCCAGTCCTCTCCCGGGCACAGCCAGTGTCATGATTCTGACGGAGCCAGTCCGTGTTCTTGCTCTTCACGCTGTGCCTTCCATCACATGCACGCCTTCCTAACAGCCTGGCTGAGCTTGCTCTTCTTTTGAGAATTCGTTTCTTTTGAGCATTCTCTAGGTTTTGTTCTGCTTGTTCCACAACGGGAAGAGGGCGTCCCCCCAAATGCCCACTCCTGTAGGCTCTGACCACCTGAAAGTTTACGTTCTCATTTGTATTTACACCCAGCAGCCTCTTCAGGGATTACAAACTTTTAGAAATAATATACAAATAGCTGTAGCAACTGCTAATTTACTTCAGCCTCACTCACTGCACTCCAGGGCTCTAGCCCTGCTCAAGTCCCTCAAACACACCTCCTGCTCCTCCTGCCACAGGGCCTTTGCACACGCCTTCACTCTCTATCAGGAATGCTTCTACTTTTCCTTCAGATCCAAGCTCAAGAATCACTTCCTCAGAAAAGCCTTCTTCCAGCCTCTGCTGGATGCTTTTGCAGAACTGCAGGCTTCTCCTTCAGTATCTTTACTTTGGTTCATATTATACATCTAATAGTAGGTCATCATCTCTTACTACACAAAACCTCCAGGACAGCAGGTCTAGCACTACCATTGTATCCCCAGAGATCAACACAATGCCCGGCATGCAGAGATGTTCAAAACATGTTTGTGGAATAAATCTGGGCTCTTCTTATTTTCTACTGCTCACATTTATCTAACTAAATCTTCTTTTCTTAAGTCCTTTATGTAAGAAGACTTAGATCTTTTAAAATCTCATCATATTTCCATTTTGTTGGACTATTGGGGTTAAAGTATTCCCCTCGCCCCATCACCACCAAAGTGTAGTGTTTTGGCTCCACTGTGTGCTAGTGTAGGGATGAGGAGCTACCTCTTTTTCAGACCCCTAATTCACTTGTGCACTTATTTGTACGCACAACCGTGTATCAGGTACTTAGTACGAGCTGGCACTGTGGAGGCATACGCACAAACATTTCTTACAGTCCCCTGCATCTTCAACATTTACTTTTCTCCCTTGCAAGTTGCCTACAACTCGCTGGCAGTCAGTATCCTGTACAAAGATAATCTACAAGATAGTTGACCTAAAGCAACTTCTATCTGTTGTGTCTGTTCAGGCAAATCTTTCTAATTCTGGAAACCAGAGGAACTAGGCTTGCTCTCAGTAGAAGCCGCCACAGCTGCTCTAATTGAACAAGTAGAATCGTTGCCATCCTAGACCATTCTGAGAGAGAGGGAGCCGCCTTGTCAGATCAGCTATTATTTCTCATACATACCCCAGGGCGCAGCCTGCAGGATGCTGGGTGTGGATGGACCTCTTCTTACCAAGGTACCATCGTTTGTTACCAAGAATTTACTCTCCTCAACCCTGCCAACTACCCATAAGACAATACCGTAGGACGCAACTGAATTGTTCCACCGTACAGGAAACAAAATAATTGCCTACTGGAGGAAATTTGGCTATGAAAGCACTGCTTCCATCCAAATGCTCTCTGTGGCTCTCTGAAACTGTGATAGCTTGTCACTGAATTGGTTATATATTAAGCAGAGAAGGCTAAAGATCTATACCTATGATAATTACATCATCGTTAACAGAATGAAGGATGCCTTCATCTCTGTCTAACTCTTTGCTGTTAATAAACCTCCTCTTCCTCAGACCAGCCTCATCTGAAGCAATCAACACTAAGTTCAATAGACAGAGGGGCTCTTATGCCCATTTCACAGATGAGCAAACGCAGGCTCAGAGGAGTCAGGTGACTTGTCCAAGGCCATTCAGCCATGATGTAGGGAAGTTCAGATGGAAATATTGGCCAGTGACTCCATTCTTCATTCTTTTCTTCCCCTTCTTACACGATCTCTCCTCATTTACTGAGGCTTACTGAATAACCTGAGCACCAGACTTGGGATTCTAGAAAGGAAACTTTGCTTAGTCACTGACCTCAAGAGATTTGAAAGAAAACCAGACAGAAAAACTTGTAGTCAGCTAAAGACACATGTTCTCTCTCCCTCTCCAAAATAAAGGGGGTATGTGTGCAGAGAAACACTATTCTGTGATTTGGTAATGGGGAGCTTCCAGAATGGGGTTTTGCCAAGTCTTTAGCTCAAAGAGGCCCTCGGGGGACTAGAAGGAAGGAGGGTGTCCGTGTTCACCCGCTCAGTTTCATGG